TGTCAATTATTTCATTAATGTACACCAGTGGGTTCTCAACATGGACAAGATATTACAATCAACTGTGTAATGTTAAAAAAACAGATCCATACCCAGCGGCATGGCTCAGTGGTTGAGCATCGATCTATGAACCAGGAGGTCACAGTTCAATTCCTGGTCAGGGCACATGCCTGGGTTGTGGGCTCGATCCGCAGTGGTGTGCAGGAAGCAGCCAATCAATGATTCTCTCTTATCACTGATGTTTCTCTCTCTCTCCCCCTTTCCCTTTCTCTCTGAAATCAATAAAAATATTTAAAACAAAAACAAAAACCAACAAACAGACTCTGGCCACCCCAGGTCAGTCACATAAGCTCTTGGGGTGGAGCTCAGACAGCTTCACTTTTCTAGGTTCACCCAAGTGATTCTGATGGCGACCCAAGATGAAAACTCCTGACATAAACTCTACTGACATATAAGGTATGACTTAGAAATCAGTAAGACTATTTCTACAAGCCACAGATAAGAATAATTCTCATGACTTTACAATAAACATTACATAAACACTTAAGATGCTATGATCTTTCCAGGTTTTGACAAAATAATCTTTCTTTATTCCAACATCTGAAGAGAAATGTACACATAACATCTCTTGACCAAAGATTTTGTTTAATGTTCATATATTTTAACAGCAGATGTTTTGGTGTGGCCCCTGGAAGCGATGAAGTGAAGCCAGCCTATGAAAGGGGGTTTCCAATGCAGGCTGAACATTGAGACACATTCATTTCAATCACACATTGCCAACCATTGGGCTGAGTTGGTGCCAAAATCCAGACGTCCAGTGTTGGAAACACCCTATCAAAAGATCGACTGGGTAAAGATCTACAACCTGAACTATTTACAGGTTACTGGGGGCCTCTGAAACGCCTTGCCTGTCTTCTCTCCCAAGGAAAGAAGAGAGACTTAGAAAATTTAACCTGGAATTTCTGAAGTGAAGGCTTTCAGTAATATGTACTTCGCTTGAGTTTATAAACTTCAAAAACCTCACTTCCTTCATTTGATGTTTGATACCTAAGGAAGCCTGGGCATAATTTATGCTTATTACCATGGTGCTCAGTTTACTTAACAGTGAGCTGTAAAAATATGTCCCCCAAATTCCCCTGCTTTTGCCATTACTTACATAATTACACCATCTACTGAAAATCAGGCAGCCAAATCAGCGTTAGAAAGACTCCCACTGAATGAGATAGGTAAGGAAAAGGGTGCTTCAATTTCAAGCCCCGATGTGCTCCATCATCAAGGTCTGGTGATGGAGTCATGTGACCTAAAGTGTGCTCTCTTTGTGAATGCCACCAGGGAAGTGTCTGGCAGGGAGGGCTCTAAACACATGCCAAAGCGACCAAGGGTTTCGGCTCTTAATTGCCAATGTTTATAGCTGAGTCCTGTTAGGTTCCACTGGCCAAACACATTTAAAAAATAATGTACATGAACATAATGCCAATATTTTAATTTGAAAATCTAAGTAAAAGAGAATTTTTAAGTGTGTATAGTGTAAGATATTATGTTTGTCAGGAGCCCCCCACTCCCTGATAAATATCACTGAAAGAGAGAAACCTGGTTAGCAGCTTTAGACAGTTCAGTAATTACAACCATGTTAGAACTGCCAAATGATTGTTTTCAGTGCTGTTACTGTGATGATGGGATGCTCATGCACCCTCCTACCCTACATAAGCATTTTCTTCAAAAGTCTGGAAACAGTTCTGTTTCTACCAGAAGGCAGTCATCAAGTATCTCCCCAACCAGCCAATTGCTCCCTTTGGAAATCAGCCTTTCAGTATGTAAGACGCATTGGTACCCAAGAGCCTTCTATTAAAATGCAAATATCCTATAGAAGGTCATAACTTAGGCTGGGAAGAGCAGGTGCTAATGTAGTCAGGGACACCTGAGAGCAAAGTCTGCCCTGGCTGTGACTTCAGGCCAGGTTTCTGGTCTGTCTTGCTTTATGTCTGTGTCAAATGGGACTAATACTGCGCTCTTAGCAAAGAATATAAAGCAACTAGCCCATGCCTTCCTAGTAGGCCCTTCTAGGAAGGCACTGGCTAGTGACAATTTTATACTAAAAGGGGATTATCGGAAATATCCCAGTTTGAAAAGCCTGGAATCAAGATTCAATAATCCAGGTCTGTTTAGCCTCAGAGTCCAAGCTTCCCACTCCAATCCTTTGCCTCCCTTTATACCAAAAACCCCTAGCAAAGAGGCTGGAGAAAGCAAAATATACTTTGCCCTAGCATTGTTTAAGCCCTGAAATGTTCTAGGCAACCAAATATTGTAGGTAAAGCAAGAAATGACTCAACTAGTATTCATAATATACTTAACCTGGAAAATAACTAACCAAGTTCAATTTCAAAGTATAAAGACATGGGTTTCCTTTTCAAATCTTTTTAAAAGTCTTCCAATTCCCTTAATATTAACTACCCTCGATTACTTGCATAACTGGTATTGTGCATATGCCATGAATATATAGAGACATATATGTATATCATTCCTCATATATGCACACCTCCAGAGGAGATCCGTCTCAAAGACATGTTTTTCACTCCACAAAGTTACCCTCTCAACTTACTCTTTTCCCAGCCCTAGAAGCACTTCTCAGGTTTTATTTTCATTTCATTTCTGAAAACACTTCTTGAAGAAGAGGCTAGGAAGAGGACAAGGCCCAACACTGCAGGAAGGGGCTGTGTTTCTGCAGGAGGCAAAGTGACAAGTAGTGACCACAAAGTCTGATGTGGGCAATCCTGGCACAGAGGTAGGCAGGTGCTGCAGGGCAGCAGGAAGGGCCAATTGTAATGACGCTGTCTTAGCAGGTAAAAGAGGCTTACTGTCCTGAAGGAAAATATTTCTGCTTTACATATAGTCTTACCAAAATAAACATTCTAGTTCATATTTCACTAGGTAAGGTATTTAACAAATATGGTAGCATTCTTAACTCCCAATTGGACGAACTTCCAGGATGGGGTAGTTTACTTCATAGTTTTGCAGTGAGGGTGAATTAAACACTGAATGAAATTGTTCAGAACAGTCAGACTACAAAGTGCAGACTCACTGTGGGTATAAGAAATGGACCCAAGTTCTGTAAGGCCTGCAGCTTTAGACCCTCTTTATGAAAAAAAAAAAAAGCAAGGTTACAAATACAAAATGCTTACAAAAGTGATCTTCTGTCACAACAAAGTACAAAATTTTAAAAGCTGTCATCACCAAAACATCACAAATTCAAATCCAGAAAAACAACCCAGCATGTGAATTAATTAACCACCTTGCACACCACCCTAAATGCTTCTTTTGGGCTGCACACTCTTTGATTACTTCTTACATGACAATGATTTATGTTAATATTTTCTATGAGATGCAAAGATAAATGAGTCTTTTCTCAAATGTGGGTGGTTGAAATTTGTATTTAATTATTGATAATTCGGAAAAGTTACTTTCAGACTCACAGTTCTTTTTTGGTGATGCTATAAAATTTTTAGGATGGTTGTCAAATTTGTAAATACTTCTATTAATTTTCTTTCATATATGAGCCATGAGAACTCAGGGTACTACAAACTTTCTTGTGCACTGACTTTAAATATTCTTTGTGTTGATGACACTCATTAATCAGTTTGTCAGTAATTATACACATACACACACACTCAAATCAAATGAGCAAGAAATTTAAACACAGAATTTAAAAATGCTGCATTTGCTCTGGCAGTTGTGGCTCAGTTAGTTGGGCGTTGTCCCAGACACCAAAAGGTTGCTGGTTCAATTGTGGGTCAGGGCACATGCCCAGGTTTTGGGTTTGATACCCAGTTGGGGGCATGCAGAAGGCAGCTGATCTATGTTCTGCTCTCACATGATGTTTCTCTCTCTCCCTTCCTCTCTCTCTAAAAATCAATAAAAATATTTTTAAATGGTGCATTTATAAATATATATTTGCATCATAACAGAAGGAATGTCCATATTAACTACACTTAGATAAGACTTAATCCTCTACTTACAATTCTATACATCTAAAAAGTAGAATTTTACATACTAGCTTCTGGCTCCATACATTCAAACAGATTCCTATTAGCAGATGTCAATAGTCCAGGTTCATGCTGCAGTGCTACCTTTGCTCCTATCCCTGCCCGTGTGTAAGGACCCTAGGTGAGCTGGCACAGCAGATGGTGTTCCTGGGAAGTGATTCCCACATTAGGATGGCTAGGAATAACCTACATAGACACACTGAGCTGTATAAATACATCCCACTAAACCCCAACTAAAGGTGTTCCCCAATTCACTTCCCCTTAGCTATGTCTCAAAAATACTCTCAACTACGATGTAACTGACCCCAAGGAGAAATGTTACAGAGGGAACGTCAGAGTGGAAAGGAAAGCATTAATAAATTGATATTAATCTTACTTTTTCAAGTTTGACAAGTTATGATTCCATGAACACAGTGCTGTGCACACTAATAGGGCTCCTCCAGTGCATGGAAAGGACTAGGTGGCCCCTAGCAATGTACTAAAAAATGGTGAAACATATATTGTACAAGTGAGGGACCCTGGGGTTTGAGCTTCATTAGCTTCATAATAAATTTGCCTCTATGGTTCCTATTATTATTCATCATCTATCTCAGTCTGTACATGTCTAGTCTCTCCAAACAAATTTCAATTCCTTGGAGACAGGAAGTACTGTCTTAAATATTAGCATACAGGAAATACTAAAGTGCGTATGGTAGTTATCACTATCCATACTGATCTTGACAGAGACAGAGAGAGAGAATGTATGTGTAATAGAAATGTATGTTTGTATTACATATACATATATACATATGTGATATATATACATGTAAATACATATGTACATATATTATTTACTAATGTATTATATATGTATTACTTATATATAATGTATGTACATATGTAAAGGAATATATATTTCTGTATAAACATATATACATTTATCTATGCATTATGTATATACATCAATTTTACATATAATACCAATGGAACAGTGAGTCTTTCCAGGCTGATAACATGGTGTCCAGATCTTGTCCCTACAAGGAGGTCTATCTCAGGAGAATGTCACTCTTATAGCCTAGCAGACAGTGAACAGGGCTTCCTTTGGGAAGCCACTGTGGGGGGTGAGGCGAGGGCCATGAGGAAACCATCAAGGTTGGTGCTGGACAGAGAGTCTGCAGTTAGTGACTCAAGAAGAGTTATTGACTCCTGCCAACATGGAGGCAGAGCCATTGGGAAGACTCCATCCTTAAAGAGCACATCCAACAGTCTGGTCTCTGCTTGCAGCTGGCCTTAAAAAAAAAATAGGTGAAAACGAATGCAACATTCGAGGGCTTACTGCGAGCAGAAAATATACATTTTAAAACTGATTTAGCCTACTAAATGAAAGGCATTTTTAAAAACAAATACACACACACACACACACACACACATTTCTGACATTTGCCATTTCTGATTTTCAGATTCTAAATAAACATTTGTTATTTAACACATTAGCCAGGTCAATATGAAACAAATCGACTACCCCATCATGAAATAAAATGTATTGTCTGCAATCCATCAAGTATTTCTTCCATGGTGCCTGTGACAGGTCTGCACTGTCCAGATCTGTCAGGGGAAAGGAGGGGGCAGGGAGAGAAATACAAAGGCATGTCAAGTATGGTTCTGTCTTCAAAGCCAACGCTGAATAAAAGGGAGGATTTTAAAAATATATGTTTTTTTATTGATTTCAGAGAGGAAGGGAGAGGGAGAGAGATAGAAACATCAATGATGAGAGAAAATCATGGATCGGCTGCCTCCTACTGGGGATCGAGCTCACAACCTGGGCATGTGTCCTTACCAGGAATTGAACTGTGACCTCCTGGTTCATAGGTTGATGCTCAACCACTGAGCAACACCAGCCAGGCAAAAGGGAGGATTTTTAAGGGAGTCAATAGCATTGTGTCCTTTAGGACCTCAGTCTAGAATACAAGGCCTCTGGCTTCCAAACAGTCCTAGGAAAGCCCCTCTCATCAGATGTCACAGCCTGCTCTAGCCTTGAGGCTTCTTCACTGCCATCAACAGGAAGAATCGGGTTTTCTGAATACAGCTGCCAGTTTGCATTTCCAGAATTGTCAAGATGGGAAGTGTCTCCAACATATACTATATGTACTCTACAGGAAGCCATTTTCCAGAGAATACGGCTTTTGTCAACCCAGTCTGTTGCAGGCAGCAGGGTTTTCTGTCTGTATATTTCACACATCAGAAGACACATACACCAAAGGAAAATAATCAGAAGCTGCTTGTGAAACTTATGAGACAGGATGTTCACCGGCAATGTTTCATACAGGGTGAGTTGAGTGTTTACAGGTGAGATGTGGGTAAAAGGAAAAACTACTGAAGATAGTGTTTTAGAGAATGTCATGCAGTTTTAGATTTGGGTCCTCCACCCCCTAGTGCAGGGGTCCTCAAACTACGGCCCGCGGGCCACATGCAAATACAAATATTGTATTTGTGCCCGTTTTGTTTTTTTTACTTCAAAATAAGATATGTGCAGTGTGCACAGGAATTTGTTCATAGTTTTTTTTTAAACTATAGTCCAGCCCTCCAACGGTCTGAGGGACAGTGAACTGGTCCCCTGTTTAAAAAGTTTGAGGACCCCTGCCCTAGTGTATATGTGGTGTGCACAAGCGTGTGCATACGGTCATGCGCACGCACATGTGTACACACACACACACACACACACACACACACGCACGCACGCACTTAAAACTTCCCTGGCTCTGTACCTGCAACCTTCTTGTGAACCACGGGAGGAAGTAAGAGGGCATCTTGCCGCCAAGCCACAGGGTGCAGGCAGAGAGCAGGGTAGGAAGTGACAAGCTTTTCATTCATTCATTTTTTCATTCACTCATTCCTTCTCCCCACAGGAAATGTCCTCGTGGGACTCTGCCCAGAGGCCCAAGGCACAGTGCTTCTTTTCAGTTCTGGGTTTTTTCAAATAAACACAGGCCACAGGAAAGGCCATGTTGGAAGCCACTGGCCTTGACACCACTTTCCAGTCCATACCGACAAAAGCCGTTGCCAGCATCTGAAGTACCTCTGGCCACACAGAAGAGAAAGTGGCCAGAGGCTGCAACCCCAATGCTGGACTGTCGAAGCATTCTCCTGTATAGTACACTATTCTCAGTCTTTCTTGGGAAGGGCCTGATGATTTTACATAGTTGTGAAATGTCCCAAAGAGTATCACAAGTAGGTGGACACACCCCACATTCTGTTAACCTCTAATGTAGACATTCACAGAAGGATTCCTAACATACTTATTTAGTAATACACAAAATGGCAAAAAATTGGGTGTTGATCATTTAATATTGCAGATGAGAACTTTGCACTTATTAGCTCACTTAATTCTCATCAGCCACTCCATGGGTTAGGTGCTGTTCTCATCCTCATTATACAGAGCAGGAAACTGAGGCACAGTGTATTTAAGGCATTTGCCCACAGTCAAACAGCTGACAAGTGGCAGAGATGTGTATTCAAACCCATATAAGCTGGGTTCACTATGCTGCCTCTTAGATGATCCTCATCTCAAGAATTCAGTTACTTTCTGAAGGAGGAAACACAGTTTCATTGTGTCTGGAAGGGGATTAGGGATGGTACCATCTAGTTGCTTACCTATTTGACAATATGACAGGCACAGCTCTGCGTACCTATCTGAAATTCAAATTCCAGCTCACACTTACCAGCCATGGAAATGTAGGCAAGCTATATAACCTTTCTGTGCCTCAGTTTGCTCACTTATAAAGTAGAGATGATAAGGGCCTAGTCCACATCATACACCCACCTATTTAGTATATCATGATGCCTCTCAGAGAAGATAATGCAAATGTTCACTAAACTATCCCTGGAGCCAAATTCTACACTATTGATAGTAACTTCCTTATTTTGCTTTCCAGAGACTTTTATCTTTATTAATTACATGGTTTACAAATCTATGAAATGAAGCAGCATGGATTTATTACCTGGGATTTGGAGATGAAGAAACTAACAGGTAGAGATTCACACAAAACTTGCTGACATTCAGGGTCAAGAGCCACCAAGTCATAGCTACTGTGAGCCACTATTCGTCAGTAATACTCCATCTCCTATTGAGGCCTCCACAGGAAAACCTGAGTCACCAACAGCAATGCTGAGGCTCCTAACATCTGGGCAAAGTTTCAAATGACCTGCTGGTTTAGTACCATCACAAGAGTAACTGAATTGGGCCAGATTCTGTGTTTCAGTTTAAAAGGTGTGTCCTGCCCCAGGGCCTTTGCACTCTCTGTTCCCTCTGCCTGGAACTCGATGTTTCCTGTATGTCCTCATGGCTAACTCCCTCACTTCTGTCAAGGTTTTTGCTCACCTATCAGCTTCTCAGTGAGGCCTATCCTGGCCAGTCAATTAAACATTCCAACACTTCCTCCTCCCAATCCATCTCAGCCTGTTCTAATCATTCCCTTTTCCATACCACCTTCCAACATATTATGTAATTTACTTCTTATTCTGATAGCTTGTTGTCTATCTTCCACAACCAGAACATAAACTCCCCAAAAACTGGGATCTTTGTTCACCGAAAAATGCCAAATGGCTAGAACTGTGCCTGGTAAAAAACAGGTGCTCGATATATATTATTACACAAGTAAATTCAAAATGCATAGGCACTTTTACAAATGTACCAAATAATCAAAGATTTCACAGCACTGGGATGCATGGATGGGGAAGCAGGCATTTCATGGGTCTGTGACATGACCTTCAGTGCTAAATTTAGTGCTCTTGCTGTTTCTGTAATTCCTAGTTACCAATTTAACTTCACCTATCTAGGATATGCATGTCAAGAATGTTTGTTGTTTTTTTTGTTTTGTTTTGTTTTTTGTTTTTTACAAACTCAAGTATCTACTCACAGGTAAGAAGCAAACACATCCTGATCAGCTTTTCCCTTCTCCAGGAAATAGAGCCAGGCTGTGGATAAAGTGACAGCGAGGCTGACGCAGAAACACTTCACAGTGACAGGGCCATGGGGTTTCTAGGCAATTTAAACTGGGGGAGGGTTTTACTGGCCTACTCAGGCTGTACACAGAGATAGGTGCTCCCCTACTAGACAGCGATGACACACAAAGAAGAAAACAGGAACACAGGTGCAGCACTCTTCCAAGAGAAAGGAAGAGAGCTAAAACAGCGGCTGGTGAAAATCATACTTCCCTTGGCTGTAAAGCCCCAGGTCCTTGTTCCTTATGGGTACAGGGAAATAATGTAAAACAAGAGCTAAGTGTACACATGTAAGATAAAAGAGACAGCTACACTCAACTTAATGCACTTAAGCTGTACTAAACAATACAGTTATAATGAAAACTATGGGCCTTGTACACTAAAGGCCTTGAAAAATCTGTCAAGCAAGAAACATGCCATCGTCCCATAAACCTTCACTTCATTGCTGCTTAAGGGTTTTGACTAGTGGCTAAAAGGTAATAATTCAGAAAGGTCCCCAAGATGGAAATGCCACCTAACCATATCTCTAATACTCTTATGATTGCTAAATAGCAAGCTCCTTGAGAAAAAAAATTAAAGATAATATTAACATAGATCTCTTAGCCATCTTTTCACGCATCTTTCTAATGTGGCCACTGGACAACATGGACATGAAATCAGTAAGTCAATCATTAAAAACAACCACCTAACTGGCTCTAAAAATTTAGACTGAACCACAAGCAATAAATACCACTTAACAATAGATCTTTCACTAAATACTTTGTCTGATATATTTTTACTCATGTCTCTTCATCAAAAGCATAGTTATTTGACACTGACTAGAAATAAGGATTTTTAAATTCTTGAATCAGGTTATTTTTATTCTTTCTTTCTGCATATGGAGCTGGTGTTTGAAAGTAAGGGGCCGCTCCTCAGCGGAGGGACACAGTAATTCAAGAGGGTCTCTTCACCCTGGGAATTTCTACTGTTTGTTCATTTTAACATTTACTTTTCCATAAAGTTTGCCAATTCCAAACTACTTCCAAAGTATAGTAATTGTTAGCCTTGCTACACAGTTCTCCTAAATCATAGCTATTGTTATAAACTTAATTTTTCAATATTTTCACTAAGAGAAAAACACTGGCCTTTTGAAAACGGTCATTACTTAAAAGCTGAGTTTAAGAAAATTTATGGAACCCTTAGCCCTCTTAAAAAATGTCTGCACAATCCTTAAGACAGTTTCTGCAAACTTAAAAAGCTCTTGTGATTCACCAACAATTAGTTT